TTAGCTCTTGGGAAAAGATCCTTTATTTAAAAAAAATTTTCATTTATAGTATCACATTTGAAACACGCTTATTTTTCCCATTTTTAGAAAGGAAGTGTAATTACAAAACAAATTCTATGAAAGAGGCAGTCAAATGAGCTAACTTTTCAATTAACTATAAATTTCATCTTTGATAATCTAATTACAATTCTTTGTTAGGCAAGAAGGCTTCCATTTTGGATTACCAATGATGACATTCATCTCAAATGATCCTTAGATGTAATATAAAAAGAACTCAAATTCTGTTTATATTTTAAATATTCAGGCCAGTGTGCTTATAGCTAATGAATAGCACCAGTACACATATACCAGATACACAGGGTTAGACATTTAAATTCTTGGTGCCTTTTTTTTTTTTTTTTTTTTTTTAATTTCAACTTGCTTTGTATTGATAAAAATAAATGAAAAGCTCTAAAAATCATTCTGGGATAGGAGAAATATTCTCTAAATGTAGAGACTTAAAGCTTTGTGGCTGTTTTAGCTCTAGGTCTTGATATGAAATTAAAAATGAAGGAGGGTTGAGAGAATTTACAGAGGATAGGGAAAAAGGAAAGGTAACTATAATAAGATACTAAAGAGCATGATCAACCAAGAGTTTTCTTGAGTGTTTTCTGGTCAGATTTTTTGAGGCTGGGAGGCAGGTATGCAAACCTGACTTAAAGGTCATGCACTGTGAATTATAATCAGATCCAAAGCATCATCTGCTCACCTTTCTCCAAATCACAAAATCATTTGGCATGACTAGTTCCATTTGCTGCAGGGCATAAAAAGATTAATCTTGTATTTAGGCACAGCTTTTGAGGCTTTGGTAGAAAAACTGTACATTAGGGAAGATCCTGACCTGAACACCTTGATCTTTGGTTCATGACCCCATCAGAGCGAGACAAGGGCTCCCTGACAGTGAATTAAACTGTGTTGATTCCTCCGCCCTCAGACACTCAAAGCTTACTCTCTCCACTGTTACATCAGTCTCTGGAATCCTAGGATGGTGTTTGTAAATAGTGCTGCCACGTGCACGGTTCCCACGTGTCAAATGTTGATGTGACCACGTGTAACTGGAAGGAGAGAAAGCTTCTACAGCTTCCAAAGAGAAACCTACTATTTTTGGCCCTAAAAATGAGCATACAGATGTCAAGGAATTATCTCTAACTAAGGGTGATTTATTTGGCTTTTCCTTTTCTTCCCCCTCCATAAATAGAGGAAGAACTGGACAAAATTTTTCCTGTTGCATTTCTTATAATTCAAACTAACTGCCCTACCTAACTCAATTAAGGATCAATTTTATAATTTCAGCAACGAATTCTGACTGCACTTTCTACTTTTTCTGTTTGCAAGACTTATACTTATTCTTGTTTGCTCATTTACTTCAGTGTAAACTGAAATATTATGAGAGATGAATTACATAAAAACTAGAGATATACACTAAGTAGGCAAATGATTTACAAAGTTACAATTTACACACAATTAAATTACAACATGACCCATTTGATTCAATGGCTTTCCTTGAGTGAAGAAAAAAAAAATTACATCTCTTCTTATCTCAGATTTCACCTTCATTTACATTCATTATATCTTTTACAATGGGTTTGTGAAAAGAAAAAAAGTAAACTCCATTCCTTAAACACCTGAATTCTTACAAATACTGGAGAAAAATTTCAGTATCAACAACTAAGTTTTTAACCCCTAAATCTAAAGAATTTCCCAGAAACCCTGAGGATTTTTAAAGACATGACTAATTAAAACAATAGAAAAAAAATATTAAATGGAGAAAAACTGTCAGCAGTAAATTAAACTCATTGTATTTTAAAAAATATTTTGGCCTCAACAAACCCAAGAATTGTTTTCAAAGTCACTTTAAAACGCCATATCCTAGATTTCCCATGCCCTTGAAAAACATGTTGATAAAAAAGTTTTAAATTACAATATATGTTGAAACAAATAGTTGATGTCTATAAAATTTCTTATTTGAAACCACAACCACATTTTTAACAGTAAATACATTGTTTCAAAATATTAAAAATAGGCGAGGTGCAGTGGTTTATGCCTGTAATCCCAGCACTGTAGGAGGCCAAAGCGGGTGGACCACTTAAGGTCAGGAGTTTGAGACCAGCATAGCTCACATGGTGAAACCCCGTTTCTACTAAAAATACAAAAATTAGCCAGGCATGGTGGCTGGTGCCTATAAACCCAGCTACTTGGGAGGCTGAGACAGGAGAATTGCTTAAACCAGGGAGGTAGAGGCTGCAGTGAGCCAAGATCATGCCACTGCACTCCAGACTAAGCAACAGAATGAGACTCCACCTCAAAAAAAAAAAAAAGTTAAAAATTTTTCAGTTCCCACAGTTAGTAACCAAATGTCCTTTTCAAGTTTGATTTTTCAGTAGAAACACATAATTAAATCTTAGCCATTAATAAGGTGAGCCATTAGCAAAAAGTCTGTTAGCTTTGCTTTATGCCAGTGTTTTCTTGCAAGCTGTAATGTGGTAGATAACTCCAAAATTAAAATACAACTTTGTTTTAAGTTCAGCTTATGTAGTTAATATAACTTTACTGAAGAAAAAAACGTTTTGGTGGCTAGATTGGAAGAAAGGTAAAATCTACAATGCGAAGTTTAAAGTATGTTTTTATCCTGCTAAAATGTATCTGTTTTTGTTTGTACTAAAATAATTATTTACTAAAATAAATAATTTATGTGGTAAGAATCTTTAGCTGGACATTTTTCTTCCCTCATATTTGAAAGGTACCCATTTATGGTATTCTTCCTTTCATCGGTTACTTTTGGTACATTAAAATAGGAATGTAAATGAATTAATATTTTAATAAGTCACTTTTTAAGATGCTCACTCTAATTTGGGAAACTATCAGAAACTGTATTCTTAGAAATGGTTTCTTCTTCTGTTTTAATGTACACAGAATACGCAGTAGAACAAACGAAAAGCTAATAATCATCTGAACTAATTAGAGGGTGTTAAAACTGATCCTTGTAATGAAGATATCATGAAAAGTTATAAAACAGCAGAGATAACTTTACAGCCAATGGCAAATATAAAAATTCTATAACTTCAAAGCAAGAGACTTCAAACAAAAGCAGGAAAAGTGCTGAAAGAACAGGTTAAAAACATTAATAGGACCAGGACAGTATGCTAAGGATGGAATCTCGTGTGGTATCGTATTACTCTGAAATTCTGGTGCTCTACTTCAGAGGCAGCACAAGTAATAATTAAGATATTTTTTAATGGGTGCCCTTCTTAGTGCAGCCAGGTAAGAAAAACAGGAGGAATAACTCAGAGATACCATGCTCTGTTATCTGGCTTTCATTTTCCCTAATGAAGCTTTTTTACTCCTTTTTGTTAATGCATCATCAATTTCAAGAGAAAATACTATAATAATAATCCATTTGACAGTTGGATGAATAGTTCTCATTAATGTATAATCTGGACATAGAAGCTAGATTTAACACTGCATCAAGAAAATAAGTGATTTGGTAAGGTAGGTTTTAGCAATGGCTAATGAGGCGTGACAACTGTAATTAAAATTATCGTTACTTTTACCCACCCACAGAACAAACTGTGACAAATCTTAAAATGTTAAAAGTAGCAAGTTAAAAATATCAGTACTCTGCATGGCATACCTAAATGGCAGATTGCCTGCATTTCTGTGCTTGAACACAGGCAATTCCCTCTGAAGAGAGTAGTACATCAGCAAAATTCACAGCCCATTTTTCTTCTTATGAATATGGTGTATCTTCCATAGAAATTACTTACAAAAAACAAAGCTAAAAATAAACAACAAATCAAAATATTCCTGAGAAAATATTTACATTTTTTAGAAGTGCATTAAAAAGCAAAGATGAAGTACTACACTAAAACCTGTGAACAACTTTTAAAAAAATTATAGAGATACGTAAACAAAATTTTATAGTCAGCTGAGGAGGTTAACAAAGTTTTAAGAGAAACAAGAGAGGGCAAAGAAAAGTAAGCTACTCATTTCTCTAGTAAAGAGAACAGAACCTAAATGCTACCTAACTGCTTTCCATAACCATCACTACACCAACTTCTTGATGGGTCTAACATGAGCATCTATCTTGGGCTTGTCATACATACTCAACAAACCTACAAGTAGATGCTATGATCATGCTCTTAAAAAGTAAAATTCTATAGCTGCTCACTGAAAAAGTGATCATAGCAATTATATAAAGCCAATATACTTCCTTATTGGGTACAATAGCATGGGTACCTTAAATATGTCTCTGAAGCCTAAAGCTCAATGTTTCCAGATTAGTGAATTTTCTCCATTCACCAGTTATCAATCATGGTCCCAAGGTATGGAATCCAACTGGCTGTAACCCAACATTCTCATGAGAATAAAAAGGGAGAAAAGCATTGCACAAGAATGTCTGATATCTAGAATTACACAAGGTTAGAAATTCAAATACAATTAACCTTAAGTAATTCACCCTGTGTATCCAAAACTACTAGTCATAGTTCCATAGGGACTAGGGTTAAAAATCTTCACTCATTTTACCACAAAGAGTCTGTAGAAGTTCTGCTCGTATTTATAAATACTCGTGGCCATGTATAGCGAACGTGAAGAGCCATCATCATTCTGACCCTAACCGTTTCTCACTTTCTCCTGCCATTATGAAGACTGCTGCAGAGCAATTCCTTTTCAACCTTATTTAACATCTTCAACATGCCACAGTATCAATACACAGAAAAAGAGTCACATGCTTAAACCCTAGGAGATACTTTGTCATTTTAAAATCTGTGACATTACAAGTGGGGATATTTACTCTCTGCTCTGCATTGCCCTTGTTTTCACGTAGATGTTAATACCTTCCAAAATCTAGTAATTTCTTATTATTTCTAGATTTAACTACATGTTGCAGCAATTTAAATGAGAACAGCAATTGTTATGACTTTCCTTTTTTTTTTCCTTTTTAGTTTATTTTTTAAATTCAGTCTCCATAGAGACTGTCAAAAATTGCCAATGCCGACTATACTTCAAGTTGTCACGGCGGGGTATTGGGAAAAGTTTTTAATTAGCAATAATCGCGCCTCAGATAAACCTCATTGGCTACAATATTGCCACTGCAAAAAGCCTTTTTTTTTTCTTTTCCTTTTGAGAGAACATCTCACTTTGTCACCCAGGCTCAAATAGGGGGGCACCAAGTGGGCTCACTGCAGCCTCAACTTCCCAGGCTCAAGCCATCCTCCCACCACAGCCCCACAAATAGCTACAACTACAGGGCTGTGCCACCATATCTAGCTAACTTTTGTATTTTTTGTAGAGATGGGATTTTGCCATGTTTCCTAAGCTTGTCTCTAACTCCTGAGCTCAAAAGACCTGCCCACTTTGGCCTCTCAAAGTGGACAGGTGTGAGCCACCATGCCCAGTTACATTCCTTTTAACACTTGGGTTACATCTACTGAACTAATTAGAAAATGGCTAGGTAACTAAAGATAACTGAGAAAGTTTTTTGCAACTATACATTAAGCCCTGTTAACAAAGTCATATAACCAATCACTATCTATTGAATCATCCCATATAAACTCTGAAGGCTACTGTTATCATGAAACACAATGCAAACTTTTGACTGACTAAGTATCCTTCTCATCTATAAGAGGATGTTGGCCAGACTAATCTCAAACTCTTGGCCTCCTGCCTTGGCCTCTCAAAGTTCCAGGATTACAGGCATAATAAAACTTTCCTAAAAAGATACGCTTAGCCCCATTTAATCCAAACAGTTCCTGCATTTTTTTTGGATGAGACCTAAGATATTTTCTAACCTAACGTAAACCAAATAACTTAACTCAAATATATTCATTTTTATAACAACAGTGTTTTGAAATATAATTCACATACAATAAATTCATTCCTTTAAAGCATATAATTCAGTGGGTTTTAGTATATTCACAGAGTTGGGCGATCATTACTATCTAATTATAGAACATTTTCATCATCCCCAAAAGAAATCTCACACTTATTAGCAGTCACCAATTTCCCTGGCCCTAGCCCCTACTAGCCAAGCTTTCTGTCTCCTTAAATTTGCCTATTCTGAGCATTACTTAAAATTGAAAGCATATCAGCTGGACGTGGTGGCTCACAACTGTAATCCTAGCACTTTGGGAGGCTGAGGTGGGTGAATCATGAGGTCGGCAGTTCAAGACCAGCCTGACCAACATGGAGAAACCCCATCTCTACTAAAAATACAAAAAAAGTTTTGTATTTTTAGTAGAGATGGGGTTTCTCCATAGGATTACAGGCATAGAGGTACATGCCTATAATCCCAGCTACTCAGGAGCCTGAGGCAGGAGAATTGCTTGAACTCAGAAGCCAGAGGTGGTGGTGAGCCAAGATCATGCCGTTGCATAGAGCCTGGGCAATAAGAGCAAAACTCTGTCTCAAAAAAAAAAAAAAAATTGAAAGCATAACATATGTGGCCTTTATTATGCCCTTGTGAGTCACCTATGTCACAGCATTTACCAATAATCCATTCATTTTTATTGCTTAATAATATTTCATTGTATGTATGTCCACAATTTGTTTATTCACTCATGAGTTGATAGACATCTGGGTTGTTTCCATTTTTTACCATTATTAATAATGCTGTTATGAACATTTGGCTAAAAGTTTTCATGTGACCAACTGTATACATTTCAAATCTCCTTTTTTGTCTTTCTCTATATAGTCCACATTATATAGAGGACTTTTACAACTATCAATGATAATGAGGAAGTATAATATAGTGATTAAAAGATTTGGCTCTAGAGACAGACTGTTCAACTTAAATGTTGTCTAAGCCTAAACCATGTATTGGGTGTATGAACTTAGGGAAGTTATTTAACCTCACTGGGCTTCAGTTTCCTCATTCATAAATAGGTATAAATTAAATGACATCAACTTACAATGTCACAAAACAACTTAAAATATTCTTAACATAAAGGAGACTATCAAAAAAAGAAGTTTAAAGAAAACAAAAACTTATATTCTGACATACGTTTTGATAAGGCACAATCACATGATTGATAACGTGCTAATCTTCTGTGTTAAACTTCTCTGTTTTGAGGAAAAAACGTTTAAAAATAAGTGAACATATGATTAAATGGTATAAAACAAAATATACACAAATGAGTACAAGTTAAACTGAGGACATCTCTGAATAAGATTAGTAGACCATATCAATGTCAGTATCATGGCTGTGATATGATATTACAGTTTTGAAAAATGTTGCCACTGGGGGGAAACTGAGCAAATATACATGGAATCTCTCTGTATTATTTCATACAATTGCATATGAATCTATAATTATCTCAATAAATATTTCAATTAAAAATATATGATCCCATATAAGGTTACTAAAAATCATTCACTTTTGTGCTTAAAATGGGTAGCTTTTATTGGACAATTGTCATAGCCTGTAGAAGTTAAATGTAAGGAATTACATTTAATTACTTTAACCATCATCACCATCACCAAGACACTTAACATTATATTTTTCTTACACATGGAAAATAGATTAGACTGGATGCGGTGGCTCACACCTGTAATCCCAGCACTTTGGGAGGCTGGGGCAGGCAGATAGCTTGAGGCCAGGAGTATGAGACCAGCCTGGCCAACATGGTGAAACCCATCTCTAATAAAAATAGAAAAATTAGCCAGTTGTGGTGGTGCATGCCTGTAGTCCCAGCTACTCAGGAGTCTGAAGCAGGAGAATCACTTGAACCTGGAAGGCAGAGGTTGCAATGAGCAGAGATCACACCACTACACTCCAGCCTGGGAGACAGAGAGAGACCTCATCTCAAAAAAAAAAAAAAAAAGAAAGGAAAATAGATTATACTTTTTTTTTCAGCTAAATTACATGGTTTTTCACTAGTTCTAGAACATTTATTAAATATTGACTGAGAGGTCACTGGTAGGTTCTATTAGGGAATAGAAAAACATAGAAATCAGTGATTACCACCTTCCAATGGACAAAAAAGAAATATAATTTGAAAGAAACATTTGTAGTATTTTTAGTCAAACAACTGGTTCATTTTACATCCTAGACTGTCCTCTGAAAACACTTCATCCCAATTTATTCATCTCTTATGTATTTACTTTTTTTTTTTGAGATGGAGTCTTACTCTGTCTCACCCAGACTGGAGTACAAGGGCCCCATCTCGGATCAGTGCAGCCTCAGCCTCCAAAGTAGCAGGGACTACAGGCATGTGCCACCACACCCAGCTAATTTTGTATGTTTGTATGTTGGACAGGCTGATCTCATATTCCTGACTTCAGGTGATCTACCCGCCTCGGCCTCCCAGAGTTCTGGGATTACAGGTGTGAGCCATCACGTCCAGGCTCAAGTGATTCCTCTGCCTCAGCCTCCTGAGTAGCTGGGATTACAGGCATGCACCACCATGCCTGGCTAATTTTGTATTTTTAGTAGAGACAGGGTTTCACCATGTTGGCCATGTTGGTCTCAAACTCCTGACCTCAGGTTATCCGCCTGCCTTGGCTTCCCAAAGTCCTGGGATTACAGGCATGAGCCACCGCACCCAGTCTCATCTCTTAAATTCTCAGTTTATTTGGAACGTGATTTCAAATCAGTTTAGAGGAACAACTTTCAGTGAGTATAAAGCATTCATTGAGTTCTGCTTTTTTTGTTTTTGTTTTTTAATGAATAGAGACAGGGTATCTCACTATGTTGCCCAGGCTGGTCCAGAACTCCTGGCCTCAAGTGATCTTCCTGCCTTTGCCTCCTAAAGGGAGCCACCACACCTGGCCTGAGTTCTGAACTCTTAAAACTGCAGGTAGGATGATATTATCACAGAATTTATTTTTACATAATATATTGAAAATCCACCTACTACCTGTTTCTTCTTCTTGAAGCACGACAAATTTAATTACATGTCATTAAAAATGGAGAAAACATGTATCAAAGCTGATAGAATGTGCTTTTTTGTTTGGTTTTGTTGTTGTTTGAGATAGGGTCCCTTTTTGTTGCCTGGGCTGGAGTACAGTGGTGTGATCATAGCTCATAGTAACTTAGAACGTTTGAGTTCAAGCCATCTTCCTACCTCAGCCTCCTGAGTAGCTAGGATTACAGGAATGTATCATCATGCCCCACTAATTTTTTAAATTTTTTTGTAGTGACTTGGGCCTGTTGCCGAGGCTGGTCTCAAACTTGTGGCCTCAAGTGATCTCTCACCTGGGCTTCCCAAAATGCTGGGATTACAGGCATAAGCCACCACATCCATCCAGAATTTGTTATTTGGAATGGAGAACCAAATATCTATTCCATTGAGAAAAGATTATATATCTATTTTAAGTCAGCAAGTCTCTACAATGTACAATCTAGGACAAAAATAGTGCTGGAAATAAGCAGATACATGTAATTCTTTTTGGATTACAGTCACAATGATTCACATGCTCCCACTTTCCCCTTCTCCCTGTTGGAACCCTTGTCTCCTACTATACACAAAATCAACAGATGTACTGTATAACCTCCTTCAATAATGTTGCAGTATTCACTCACTTTTGGCAATGAGTTGAAAGAGAAATTGGAGATTTAGACCAAGTAAATACTGTATATTTGGCAAAATCATTTGTGGTTGTGTTCTTCAGCATAGTTTCCCAGATAACCACCAGCTCTACTTGGCAACTGGTTCTTCCCACAGTTAAGGCTCCAATTGTAAAGCTGGCTTGGGAGATATTCTACTGCTGCTGACTTTGGTACCATTACTATCCTTAAGAACTAGTGTGGGATGGTAGTATAATCACTGACAAAGTGTTACTCTGATTAACAAGTACTGACAGCTGGTCCAAAATTTTACCCCATTCCCAAGATAGGAAACAATTACATTTAAGCAGCCTACATCGTTATTTATAAAACAAAGACAACTCTTTCCAGTAATGTGAAATTGCTAAATAAGACTATGAAATTATATTAAAACAATAACAACAACACAAAACTGAATCTGCATTGGAAGCAATTAAAACATAAAACGTAGATCTAATATTTTCTAAATATTATTCTAAAATACTGACATTATACAATGTCAAGCATCCATAACTTCTGAAGATATTTTATTTCAAGGTAATTTTGTAAGAATTCATA